CGTTCTTGTTTGCAGGTTGCACATGCCCTGTTCTAGCGCATTTATTCACGGTTTTGTACGCTGCGGAAGTGACACCCGGGATGCGTAGGAAGTACAGGGGATGGGTTTCGGTCGACAGCTGGGGGCTTTCATAAACCTAGGCGACAGCGACTGTTTTCTTTTTGTTGCCTTGGGCCGGTGACGATGTGGTATGGTGTCAGCCTGGTCGACCTTGTCAGGAAGGCAATTTCCAATTGACGCCAAGCTTTGCCTACGAAGCAACGTATTCAGGCTGCTTCGGTAGAACTGTTACTCCTCAAGGAAAGCCATTGTACCCAGACTGGTCATGGCAACGGTTATATCACCGAACAGTCGGTTGGCACGGGACAACTCCTCACGCATTAACACCACCTGCGGGGAGGCAGATGTAGAGGGCATCGGTGTAAGTTCCGCAGAGAAGGCTTCCCCATCAGGGATGGGAATCTGATGGTCCCGCATTGACCAACGGCTTCTGTGCATAAGGGGGTTACGTCCGCGGCTAATATGCCAGCAACGCACAATGTGTGCGCATACTATATCCCACTGACTTAGGAACCAGCAACCGCAGCTCATTTCATTACCCATAACAACCAAGTGCTTTCGGTCACCCTTATCTAATACTTCATACCCAGTGCCGTTAGGTCGTATTGATGTGACCGTCTCCGAAGAAATGTGCCGCATACATATGGTTGCAGCATAGACAGAAAGGCAAGAAACCAACTCCTTCACCTGCCCAGTTCCCGGAATGGCGCGTGGTTTCGACATCCGCAACTTGGCTACTGACGTGGTCCAATGGGATTCCGCATCGCGTGCTCTCTCTGCCTCAAAAGTTGCAAAGGCCATGTCCTTTCGCTTAATCCACACTTGAGGTGCTTATTCTCGTTCTCCACTCTGTTTGTGGTGAACGCACCCAACGGGCGCACTTTGCGCAATCTGTGGTACGCCAAGCTTCCTGCAAAGAGCAGCCGTGTCCGACTGAGGTACGTGAACGCCTCTTTGATTCTAACCCTTATAGCTCTAACAGCATCTTAAACTGGAATTCGGTCTTTGTGTACACTAACCTGTGCATTCACTGCTTCGGCAAAACTCTGTCCGGCTTCTTCACTTTCGACAGAGACTGGCATTTGCGTGAAATGTCCCGCAGGAAATGGAACCGGCATAATACTATCATGGTCAGTGGATATACCGACTTAAATGCCTTCATTTGCTCCAGGCACCTATCCATGACATGCTCCGAGCCACCTCCAGGTAACTGCATGCCGTCTCGTCGGGCATTAAAGCGTAAAACACGCTGCGACCTAAGCCGAAACCGTCAATCACCATGCAGTGCCAAAGCACGTAACCACCGCAGTTCGCCTGATGCGTGGCATCTGCAAGAAGCACGTCCCCGTATTTCGCCACTACGGAAGTCATTGATGCAGGAACGAAAAATAGGAATCGCACCTGCGACCCATCTCTTTCTACACGCACAGCGCCATTCTTACTCCAAAATTCCTCAACCGCGTTTATATCGTTCGCCTTCGATATTCCGCCTAAGCGATGGCGGATGAAAAAGAGGTCCTGTCGATTCAATCGTTTGTTATAACTTTCCAACACATAGTCTCGCAATTCTTCGGTATTACGGAAGGACTGCATTAAATCAAACATCTGCCGCTCCGCCTCGGGAGTTAGGCGCCGGTTATCCACTTACAAACTTGGATTCCCTAAGTGAAAAGTATGATTATGCACCAAACAATGCGAGCCTATCACATAGTAAATGCCCTTCGCACTGATGGCTATGGTCGCTTTACAACCGAGGCTGACATACCTATGCAACATGAACTACACATAACACAAGGTTTGCACTTACCGACTGCCACCTTCTCCTTTCCGGTTGCGATGGACACGACGATTTCGTACCCATTTGTACCGCATCCCGTCGGGTAGCTCTTGACCTGACCTCTTCTTATACGACACAGCGGTCAATACGTCATATTTATAAAAGCTCGTCGCCGTCTGAACTTGAAACCGCCTCAAATCTTCCTCGAATTTATCAAATGCCTTATAATATTGGCGAAAAGATGTGCGGAACTCAGTAGTATCATCCACAGTCATTGCAGCGAAACTGAAACAACACCTGCGAACTAAAACAACCACCGTTTCATAAATCCTAAAATAGTGCACTACCATTTTCACTTCCCCTTAATCAGTATACCTTTAATGAACCCTTATCAAGCCTTAACAACGTATTTCAAAATATTCCACCCCAGCAGCCAGTACAGCAAACAGTACCACCCCAAATTACGATCAGCTGTTTTCGATTACTCCGACGCTCTGTGACAGAGTCGGGAGGCGCTAGCTTTTGTAAGGGCGGTAAATGTTTTCGCGGCCATTGTCTTCGGTGACGTCCAAGAATGTTTGAATGACTGCATGGTATATTCTTACCGGTGATGGTATGACGGAATAGAAAATGAAAGGTAATGGTATATGGATTTGCTTCCTGAAAACGTTTCTGCTAAATTTTAGTGATGACTACCGGTGTACTTGAAGGTTACGGCGTATTCGAAAGCAGGAAGATGGTGAATACAGGGATGTTTGAATGGATTTGTTATGGAGCGAAGAATTGTTTTTGCGATTCATTATTATATGCACATGTTATGCTTGAATGAAGCAACTAGTAAATGGAACTTACGTCCTTGGATAAGGGAGATTCAGATCTCTTGTCTGAAGTTTGGAGATGTTGTATTTTTTTGAACTCATTTCAAAGTGGTGTCGCTTGTTCTCCAAAGTTGTAGTACTTCTAATGCTGAAACAGAGCACTCATGAATCGCATTGCAGGGGTAATTGTTGTTAGAAGGCATGATTTCATTGAAACGTTCTATTGTCCAATAAGGTGGGCATTTACGAAACTGTTAGAGGGGATCGGTGAATGTTAATGAAAGACGAATGATTAATGAATGCCCCAATAGGGCGAAACGCGTCTGGCGCTTTTGCGGGCTGGGCCCCGCTATGTGGCTTGTGAACTATTGGGATGAAGGCCTTATCAGAAGTACAACTGAAATCCTGCTACTTGTGAGTAATATAAAATCAAAATAGCCTCTCCTTGTTTCAACGCTACGGATATAGCGTCTAGTGAGAGGACGTCATCACCTCGCAGGCCAATCAATTGTTTCTGTGCCGGATTTATTTTCCAATTAATTATTTATTTAAACACTACCGTACTACCACGGTTGGACTAACCTACTTTTAAGTCAATCTAGATGATTGCGCATTTCTAATTCAAATTGTAGAAGGAATGTTTGCTCTTCCGCAGCTTATCGCGATAATAGCTGACTTATCCTAACTTCAGTATGAGCGATGTACAGCGGGAAATATAGCTACACTCAAACTTGTGACTAATTTAAGAAACAGAACATGTAGCTTCAACATCAGCATGTTAATCGCTAGTCAGTGACTTGCCGGGAGTATTCAGGTTACACGGACGAGCCAACGTGTGGATACTTGCAACAATAGTTGTTGGGTCTTGAACACCGAATTTCCACACTGCATTTCAAAACGACGAAGGGTTGTACAGTACTTGGTCTACAAGGATAATTTGATCATTACACACAATTGCAATGGAATGTACGAACGAATGTAGAATATTGTAAGCAGCAGCCGCATAGTAACCAGGAGTTAACGCGACCCATGTACGCAAATGGCATATATATATATAGGCTGGCACGTCCTCAAACGGGCCACGCCCCCCTACGACTTGCTCGCGGAGTGGCTGCGCCACGAACCACAGGTCCCCAGCGAGCAGTTCGTAGGGGGGCGTGGTCCGTTTGAGGACGTGCCAGCCTAGCAGAGCCTACCCGCGAGTCGATCGGAGCGGACTATCAGAGAGACATTGTCTTAAGGCATAGCCTTTACGAGATGAGGAGGAGTATGAAAAAAATAACGGTCACGTGGTTGCTAGCCAAAATCGATTCTACGGGAGAAGACGTGAGATGTGGTAGGAACAATTTATGGATGATTAAAGAAAGTAGGGAATATCAATGTGGTATCAGTATAGGTGCCAGTGTCAAGTTGACAAGCGTTTGCGTTTATCCAAATGTTGAGAGTGCTGGCGATGTTTCGCCATCCATCAGGAGGTGCAATCAAGGTAAGAGTGAGTTGGGTTTCAAGGAGGACGTGGCCCATCATGCGAACAATATCTTCAGAGGCAGAGACGGGTTCAATGTATGGGAGGAAGAGGAAGATGGGTTGAAGTGTATGTGCGTATGGGCTAAATGCAACGTAGTTGGGAACAAGTGTAGCGGGATCTGTGTTGAATTGTGTAGTTGTAGCCAACTATTTCCAGAAGGGGAGGTATTTGTAAGGTGTAGTGTGACTAAAGTAGTCGCCAGGCATGTAGGAGAATCCTCTGGGAGTAGTGGTGGGAGTAGTCATGAGGAATTTGCCGTTATGGTCGAAATCGTAGCGTTTGACGTAGACTTCATTCGCAGAGAGGGTCTGTACATTATTGCACGCGAGTAGGCCTTGATCGGTAGCAAATTGCCAGTAATTATTGGAGAAGACTGCAGTCTTGATTGAGAAGGGCTTGCTCGGTAACATTGGTAGAAATGGTGTTGAGGAGGCCAGTGTCATCTTCCGCTATGTACATGTAGGGAGCACTATTGAATGCTGTGACATCAGTTGCGTTAGTGCCTTGTAAAGACTTTTGGAGAGGTATGTAATGTGATAAACGTAGTGTAGCATGGTTGAAAGAGCATAAAGGAAATGTTTGTCGCAGGGAATCGTAAGGTTCTGCGAACCGTTGGTCGGATTGTAGTGCCCAAAACTCAAAGGCGGATATGGGTAAACAGGTGATGGCGAAGGTGTCTGAGGAATCTCCTGGCTTGTACTGATTAACGGTAATGTGTTGTTTTCTGGTGATGGTGATAGTTGTGGTATTGTATCTCGGTCGTAGTAATCGGATTCGTTTCGCAGTGGCAGGTGCAGTCTCTCCGGGTGTGTCATCGTCATTCGTCGAATCGACAAGGATTCGCTTCCCACCACTTGCCATACCAGGAAGAGAAGTAGCAGGCACAAAGAGTGCTCCGTGGTTTCGGCAGTTCCGGAGATCCGACGCGAACTTTGAAATGGAACGTATGGCACCTCTCATATATAGCTGCTGCATCGATGGAGGTAATGTAAGCTCCGAGGCTGTGATTGGTTGATATTAAAACGGGTAGGCGGCTCAAGGTCACATCAGGAGAATGTTTGACGTGTATGTCGAATGGACTGCCTCCGAGTAACTCTTTGAAATCATTAACGGTAGCCAATGTTATTCTGGGTTCTTCCATTAGCGCAACAGACTTATCGACCAGGTTTTGTAAAAAAAACTGTGAGTGGTCGCCAGATCGTTGTACGGTACCGCAATGGTAGTTTTGGCATATCATCTTTAGCACTAGTGACTTGCCTGTGGTAGTGGGTCCTTCAATGCACAATGTATTAAGCATGTCTATCTTCTTGTTCATCACTTCATGTATCGCTTTACAGAACTTGTCTTTATCGATCTTATTCGCTGCTAGTAGGTTATCCAGGAATGGGTCATCAAATGTCTTTGGGTGAGCACACAAAGCCATGTGGTTGTTTTCCTGCATGTACTCTTCGAACGATATGTTTGTCTGACGTTCAAATAACTCTTCGTTGAAGGCCACGATGCACATTTTGGCCGACTCTTCCCACTGCATTCCAAACTCGTTGTATATGGATAGCCGTTGTTTACGAGTGAGACATCGCTTCAAATCTTTGTGGTGTGTGCATCGGTGAACCTCAATCAGTTCGTCTAGTAGTTGCGTTCGCTTTGACCTGTTTACATTGGAATGTTGTTGCTTCCTGGATTCTCTGTTGAGAGTTGCACAGTCTTTTTGATCAATAGGTGTTAGTCCGATATGTTGTGCAAGGTGTTGTAACCCTCTTCCTAGCAGTTGAACACGATATCCTGTACTTGCAAGGTATGGCGCGAAACGGAACCAATCTATGACTGGTTGTAATGTGGCGAGTATATCAAATGTATAGGTTGACGAAATACCCATGACTTGGAGTATACGTTGTAATGATCGATTACGATTCTGTGGCAGAGCTTGGAAAACAATATGATAATGGTCAGAATGTTGTATTATTATGGCGTTAAGACGACGGTTACTGAGAATAGTAGGTGGAGGTCCTCTGTATATGAAGGTCCAGAGGTTGTCTGTGCTATTGATTTTGTGAATGATGTCGCTCATAAAGACTTCGTCTTCTGTGGTTTCAGCAACTTGTGTCAGTACATCTTCTGATATTTCAGGGGCGCGCAGTTCCGATAGTGTATCTTCCAATTCCGAATCATGTGAACATTTTTCTGCGATGTGGCTTGGCTCTGGTTCATGCTTTCGTTTCCATCCTCTAGTAGACGGCTGAGGAGGAGGAGAGGTAGTAGAATTTGGTTCAAGTATATCATCGATCATAAATGATGGTTTCTTTGGCGGTGATGCATCTAGATCGACATTATGTTCAGCTGCCCTTTTCAGTGCATGTTTCGTGGCTGCAATGTGTAGTTCAGCATCGGACTTCATTGATTTGGGCACAGGTGTTTCAATCCCGGTAGATTGGATTTCATTGTACCACTTTTCATAGAGCTCCGGGTCTTGTATCCTTAGTCGTTCGCTCATTACCCAATGAGGGTAACTTAGAATAACATTGGACTGTTCCATCTGTCGTTTATACTCTTCGTGTCTATCTTTGAAGGTCTTCCGTTTATCTTCCTGCCATTGGTCGAGATTGTTGTTCTTCCTCCGGATGGCCTCGAACTTCGCAATCTGCTGCTTGGTGAACGGCATCGTTGGTTAGACTGTGTGGTTTTTCGTGTGCTTATATAGTCGTGAGAAGCGTAGGTAACGGCGGGAGTCAAAGATTCGTTGTCCTCCTCCTCTTCACACATTCTGTTTTGATGAACTGATGAGGAGGAATGCGTAAACATTTTCAGAGCTGATTATCGAATTTTGTCTATCATATACTGATATTGGTCTCTCAGATTGTCCCTCCTATGGAGTTACCTCTTTTTCTCACTTCATTCTCCCCTCTTCCTTTTAGCTCACTGCGGACCTAAGGTCCGTGGCACAGCCACCTCGTGACCTGGCTTGAGGCGGGCAGTAGTAAACCATTGAACACTCGGAGGTGTCCTCCCACCGTAAGAGACAATGCGTGGCAATCGTGCTCCACGCCAATCGAGCTGTGAGCTTATAACCCGTAAACCCGTTGTCTCCCATTGATAGGTTTTACGGGAAGAGGGCCATCGACCATTTCCTAACCACCGAAGAGGATGGACTAGGGTACTGCCAGGGCGCCCACACCTGACAGGAGAACGACTCGGGTCCTTAGCCAAAGCCTTCGATTAAATATACACCCGAAGGGCAACGGGTCTAGCACATGGTCATTTAGCCGACTCATGCTGATTAGTGTCCTGGATCTTAGCAGGGAGAAGGGCGAAACCTAACTCCTACCCAGCGGTCGCCACGTGGAGGCGCTCAGGGCATGAGACTATGGTGAAACAGTAGCAGCCGTCGGTAGACCATCTGTCAGGATCTAGCCATCACCAGCCTCAGCGCACCATAGGCTCTCCCGCCTATACATTTATATACATAAGTATAAATATACATATATGATTTGGCGGCGTCCGTATCCGGATTTGCCTGTCACTGTGACGTCCATGGGAACAGTCACAGGACGCCTGCGCCTACAAAGGAGACCATGGGTGGCTTGCGCTGCACCACCCACAGTTCCACCCACACACCCCATATCCGGTGTAAACCCGAAGGAATAAGACCAGGAGGCATGTGAATGTGAATGGGAGCCACGTTTCGTCAACGGAGCCGGCCCACACTCCTTCAACAAGCAGAACGGAAGCATTCCGGCCTAATTGGGAAATCATACACACCAGACGTACACGAGGCAATGGCTGGACCGTAGCCCGATCTACAAAGGTTGCATGCAACCACTCTTTGAGCCTAGCACCGTCACGAGGGCGGTGCACTCCGTCCCCTCCAACGACGACCAACTGTCTCCTGTAGCCAGTATGGACGAGGTAGTGGGTAATAGACAGGTAGGCACCTTGTAAACCTTCACATCAAGCGCGTCCACACCGGAGGAGCTCAAGCAACATCTACTTCTGAAATGCAAGGTTACTCAACACGCAGGCAAACGTACCGCATACGCCACCATATTGGCATGGATTAGTGAATTGAATGGGAACATACTTATGGTGCGTCTATTCCACATACTCTAGTGCTTTCTCCGGCACCTGAGAAACCGTCCTTTTAAGCAGCCCGTGGAATTCGCATCGATCAAATTTGCCTTGGATTCGCAGCACCTAAAATTAGCATAAGTTTGTCATAACCTCACCTTTTTCATGTTCTGGTAATGTTATTTCCGGTTTGCTCCAAGGTCATTTTAATGCACTAAGTTAGTCGTACAAAAGCGGTACGAGTATCCTCGTCGAATTCAATCGGTATACATATATACATAGATTGGTGTTATCCGTGTCCAAGGGCAGTTTGAATACAACATATGTACATGGGCTTATCCAAATTGAAGTGTGATCTGTCACAAACTGGATAGAGACACCTTAGACATCATCATCAAGGGTACGACAAACGTGTCTGGGTTACGTTTGGAGGTCAGGATAACAACCACTTTTGCAGGCATAAGAACAACTACCCAACACGAACGGTTGATGTTTTCTTCAACCTTTAGACGTGACAGCCTTAAATCTTGGGCACCCATATTTGAAGGTACCCGATGTAACGATAGCGAAGCAACTGCTAGGTAGAATGATGACTAGACTACTGGTACAGTGAAATAGTGTGCACTTGGGTGTTGCCTTCTACACGTACAGACTGGTTTGAGTACTTGATGGGGGTGATCACAGCATGCGAATGCGATTCAGTGTCCACTTCTGGCTATCTTTGTCTCCGACCGTTTTGGTCATGTGCTGCCCGAGGCATGTGCACCTACTCAAAGAACGATTGATGCCCAACCTTTGGTATTGACAAGTGACATCAAGTAAGTCCCGCTGCCCACTATCAAATGTGCGACTTTCCAAACAGTGTTCGCATTGATAGTGCAAATGTCCAAGTACTCAACCGTTTATACCTACCGACCTGTACTCTACTGTGGCCCGAAGCTATTTGTTAACGTTCTATCTCGTACGTTTCGGGTGCAGCCATTCGGTGCTCATGAAACCATTGTTGCTATGCGCCGATTCATTTCCGATGTTATATAATAACACACTGACGTACCATTCCCGTTAGGTTCAACATTTTACTTAATCCATGCAAAAGATTGGCCATGTGCAATGCAACTTCTGGTAGGCATCTCTGCACGTTTGCCTTCCATCCGGTTAGTACGTATGTTTTCATAAGCCCCGATAAATTCAGCATGGCTGAGAGATAACTGGAACTATAACTATACTCACTCTCATCACTAGCCTGCGGAGTGGAGCATGAAATGGCCACATCGTGATAATCGCTAGTCGGTTAATTGTCGGGATTGTTCACTTGAAAGAGAATTTCCAGGGAAATTTCTCTTCGATTGCATACTTCAAACTGGTCACACGAAGGACAGTCGTTGTTCATTGTTACAAATGTCAAATTCGACATTTTATGCGTACTGTAAACGGCCAAGAGATAATAACCTTTCGCTTCAAACGTATCCATAGAACTGGAAACATACCCCATAATTTGCCACCCTAGCATTGATCCGTGGCAAGCACACAAATCGCTCGAAAAAACCGCACTCACATCAATTACGACTGAGCTCATGGATGGATTGAACCATTATACTGCGCTGCACCGGCTCTCTAAGCATCATGCAAGTTAGCATTGAGTAGCTAGTCAAGCTACGGTTATGGTGAGCAATAACATGGAGCTTTTATAGGGATGTGAAGAGGAAGAATAGGAAGATGCCATAGCTCATTGTCTCGGTATGTAAACATACTAGACACCGCTTGCGGCAGTAGTTAATCCTTCTAGAATGAAACTGCGCCCAAGGCCGACTTACATGCGGTAAATAGAATAAGGATGACACCAAAAAGCATGACGAAGATGGCGTAAGCAACTTTCCAAGTTAGCAGGGTAATGGTGCGATTATGTCCACTGCCGGCAATCCGTGTCGTAATGTAAAACCAGAGGCGGTAATAATCGTCTGTCTTCCAAGGTGAACGAGAATCAACAGGGAGGTAGAACCAACAAGCAGTCCGTCATGTGTTACCATTTCTTTCCCCTGGTCATTCGTTCTGACCTTTAACATATCTCTACCAATTCATCAGTGTCCAGAATACTACCTATGCCCAGGCCTTTCGATTCCCATGTCACAACGTATTGCCGCTGCTCCGGGAATCAACCTTGGTGACTTGGCTGAATCTCAGTGCGTTTACCTGCACGCGGCAGCAGTACAAGGGGCCGTATAGAGACACTTGAGATGGGATACATTGAATTCATATTTCAACCCCTAATAAGTCACAGTGTCACACGAGAAGAAATGTAATAAGATATATCTGTCAAGTGGGAATGTATCGAGACACGAACAGATGGTAGCGTGATTTGTACTTTAGGCTAGTCCCATCGAGCCAGCAGCTAATGGTGTTACGCGAGTGAAAATGCCATCAGTCTGTCACGCTGAAGTGTGGTGCTTATAGGTGTTTCCAACTGGCTTCCACTTAGTCATTCAACGTGGGCTATCAATTGACATACCAAAGGTTTCTGGTTCAAATTATAATACTGCAGTTTTGCGAACTGGCATTTGTTCACACTTGTGTATGTACTACCACAAACTGGATGAAGAAATAATAACCCTCATGAACCAGAAGACCACCTACGTGCATGAGTTTGGATTGATTGAAAGAATAGTAGTAGTTTTAGAAAATCGCACGTAGAATTATAAGTAACCAATACCACTCTCAGTGATTAGTTAGCGTTTGGATGAGAACCAAAACGACAGCCTTAAGTTTATTCAGAAGTGTAGGTATCAACAATAGATTGGGACAGATATGGAAATACCAATGCAAATGCCATGAGTATGGTTACTAGGTAGAATGATGCACAACTAAATGTACCGTAAAGCACGGATGACTTATGGTTCCTGTTTACTCTACATGCTCTCTTGCTATAAGCGTTAGTAGACGATAATATCATACATTTCCTGTTGGCCCCTTGACACGATCACATCACCACCACATGTGGTAAATCCCGCTGCTCCCTGTTCCATCATCGACTTTCGAAAGAGTGTGCAAACTGTTTTAGCAAATTTGCAAGAAGTACCTTGCGTAACAATTAATCACCTAATATCAAAAATGAGTATGTCGTGGGACACCTGGGCACCATGGTATCTTCACTGCGGGGTTTGGAATGGAACCACTTAGATATGGCTTGAGAAAACAATGAACGATTAGATCTCCATACACATGTTGTGATTTACAATGAAAACAGTGAGCATTGCAACGTTAATCATATGAGGGTAGACAAACAATGGGTATCAAGTACCCGGACAGACGGCGCCGACAAGGTGTTTAACTGAACGTATTATATTCCCATACGACCTGGATTTGTAATCGTAATTTTACCGCTTACAATTTACTAACAATCTGTCATCATACATCTCGGTTGCAGCTATTCCTCGCAACAAATCAATTGTTGCTGTGCTAGGTTCATTTTCCAATTACATATTTATTTAAACACTACCGTAACACCACAGTTGGACTAATCTACTTTTAAGTCATTCTAGATGATTGGTCAATTCTACTTTAAATTGTAAAAGGAACGTTTGCTCTTCCGCACCTTATCTC